CAGTTTCAAATTAGACATACGCAATTTTTTTAAATAGAATGACTACAATCTAATTAAGCTCTAAATAATTAAGATCTTCAACAACTTCCTCAGGAGTGACAACGCACCTGTATCCTTCAATGCTTGAAGTTGTTTAAATCAAGTGTTTAAGAAAAGTTGTTAAAATTTTCCATGTGTGGTATCAATGTGTGGTATCATCTTGGCATATCATCTGGTGAACTGGATAATTAATAGTCACTTAATAATAATAATAAATCCCTTTATTATAAACTTACAAGATTAAGTTGCATGCTAGAAAGAAAGAAAGAAATGCATAATGCATTTTATTCCAGTTTAAGCATGCAGCGTAACAAGTAAAAGGTAATTAAATGCCAAAAGATGAAGAAAACTAAATTAAAAGTAATTTAACATCATTATAAATTGAAAAAAACATTTAAAAGTGCCCTGTACTGCAGCATGAAACCGTGAAATGGAACGGACTCAGTGATAGAACTGGTTTTTAGTCCAGCTCTTACCTAGAGGCAGCTCGGGCGGCTGAGTGCACGCTCGCTCTTAATGTCCGAAAATTCATAATATATAATATACATATACATATGCATACCCAGATTTATATATATTTGGACTGATAGTAAATTAGCTTTTTTTTAGGTATATGGAAGCAATATCTACAGTTTTGTATTAATAAAAAAATAAAATAATAACCAAGGTAAATAAACACACAACTCGTATAAGGATTTTTAAATAATTTTAAAAGAAAGAAAAGAAAAAAAAAAAACAAAACAAATAGGCTACCCACATTATATGATGAATTTCATTGTTGCTATATTTACATTTTTTAAATGCTATATTTAAATTTTTTAAATACAGGATTTAGTATAATTTAAAGTGCCAAACCGCTCGGTGTCTATGAAATACAGTTACTGGTAAATTCATTCATCGTTAACTTGATAAAAAATTGCTACATTAAAGAATTATCATAAGTTATTTATACCTAAATTCTACGTCTTAACCAACATTTTTTTTGTTCATTGAATAGTAGTAATTTATATTTGTTTTAAAACTATTAATTGTTGTAAGGCTACGTAAGGAAGGTGGCAGATTGTTCCAATACTTTGTTGCATTGTATTTAAAACTACCTCTGTATGCAGTAGAGCAGCAAAAAGAATATACAAATTTTTGTTTAACTGATCTGAGATAATGTGTATTATTGTGATCTTTGGCCCAATCAAGCTTATTGTACGGATATACCGAACAAAAGAGTGGCAAAGTGTAGTCGTCTCCGGAGGTCCATTTTTAATATATTGGCTTTGTTATAAAACGGTGTTACATGTGTACGTGGTGGTATGTTAAAGCAAAAAAGCGCATAGACGTTTTGCACCCGTTTTATAATTTGTTTGGTACGAGCTAGAAGTCGCGGTCCTATGAGAGAATCCGAATAGTTAAATTTTGAGAGAACAAGGGACTCGCTTAAATTAACACGCAGAGTCAGGTTTAGGTAACTGCGGATTCGATAAAGTACTTTTAGCCTAAAAAAGCAATTACCTAATTGTAAAAAATTTACTTCTCGAATCGCAGCTGCTCGTCCATCACTACACCAAGACTTCTCGCTTCAGGGACTCTCTCTATTGTATCCTTATTTATGACAACAGCGGGACATTTCGAGATAATCTTTCGTGCCTGTGTTGGCATTCCCAGTATCATGTATTTTTTTTGGATTCAGAACTAGTGTGTTATGCTCAGACCATAGAGATATGCGATTCAGGTCGGCGTTAAGTATGTTTTGGTTTAATTATAAACTATCCCATTATTCAGCGTGCCTCTTTGCATAGCCCTCCTCTAATATTTCACTGAGTTCTGCCTCGCGCTACCCTTCTCCAATGATGTCCAGCCGTGAGTTGTAAGTCACCCTTCCATCTCGTTTTTGACGTCCTCTATTGCATTTTCCATGTCTAGGTACTAATCAGAGACAAATTTTCAATGTAAATTGAATTTTATAAAAAATTGTAATCATTCGAAATCTTTAGACATGTATTTTGGGGCAATATGGACTTCTCATTTTTGCCCTATAATATTTATTATATTATATTTGCAGTCTACTATTGGACATTTGTTAAGTCCATAATAAAATTCATAGAAATTTCATAAAAAAATTGCCGCGGGTTTCAAGCTTGATATATCGGCTTTCACTAACAGTGCAACTGCAAACAAAAGATATTAAATCCTAGTCGTATACAGTATTTCTGACGCTCTATGTTACATCGGGTAAGATAGCACGAGTGTCTTTTGTGCTTTCTTAGTTATTTATTTTTCTTTCGGTTTTGAATTTTTTTCGTCCCAAATTATTTCTTTACTCAATGGTTTATTAATAATACTATGCCGTGTGAACTATGGGAGAAAATCTTGGTAGAAAGAGTTGCGCTATATGCTTCACATCTACCTAGTTACAAACAGTACTGGATAGTTATTTATTATATTTACGCGACACCACACACTGCTTAAAACTACTTAAAAAAGCTGAAAGTACTCAGGGTTAACACTGACATCAGTCACCTCAGTCCGTGACCATGGGTGCTGGAAAGCACCCGAAACGTCAAGAATTAAAAGAAAGCAAGTAAATAACCGCGATAAAATCCGAAGAAGTAGTTTTAAGTACTGGACAGTTCAGTTACAGGGGACTTTTTACAAGCAAAGTGTCTACAAGTACGAATCAATTAAGAAAATTATATTTTAAGCGACAGTAGCCTAATGGCAGGGCGCGGACCGTGAACTCAAAAAGGTCGTGGGTTGGAATCCGCCTTTCGACTACTGGCGTGAACCACTCGTAACATAAGCAATTTAAGCTTACCACGAGTGGTTAAGGGGAATATTAGTAATTGTTTATAGCATTGTTAATATTCTTTTAAAGTTTTATTATTATTATTATTTATACAAACCTTGTGTGCCTTCAAGTCTGTCGTGTCAGTTGAAATAGCTATTTAAACCCTATTATATTTGTGAGAGCAGTGGTAGCTTAGGAACTAAGCGCTTGCTGTAAATTTTACAGTACGCTAGCAACCCGGGTTCGATCCCCGCCGGCACCAATATAATTGTTAGTTGCAAATTTAAGTGCTGATTTACCTACCCGGTTGTGAAGGAAAACAACGTGAAGAAATATGCAAGTCTGATAAATAAAAAAAAAATATTTCGAAGACAGGTGAAGTTCACCAACACTCATTTAAACAGCGAGTTTCCTTGCCCTAAAACCCTCTCACAGGTGAGAGAAGGCGTTTACAAAGCAGTGGGACGTATATATAAGCTGTAACTTTAACTTTTTATTTTATGTTTGTGAATTAAGTAGTGTAAGGTCACAATAAAATGTCACGAAATCAAACTAAACGAAGCAATTTTAACAAAAGACTATATCTGACTAACCAGAAGGTGACAATGACGAGTAACTTATATATGGTTTGGAAAGTTTCGAAGAAAGTCGTCAGATTTTCATCTAATTTGATCTCTATTCTCTATCATAGCCTCTAACAGTTCACTGTTGAACATAGACCTCACCCACAAATTGCCATAGTTGCCACGCCTGGTAATCGGGTTGACAACCGCAGTTTTTTCTTATTTTGCGTTGTTGTTGGAAAGATGCTGCTGCCCATCTTCCGATATGTTTCCTCTTACAGTTCTACGACGGAAGAGGGGACGGAAAACGCTCCGTCCACATTTAAGACACCCATGAGACGATATCGTGTAGTGGATATTCTAACACCGCAACCGCAGCTGGATCTTAAGTTTACCACATAAAAATATTATCGAAATACATCAGTATCTCATGTAAACATTTGATTTTAACCACAATTACACTGTACACATACGCACGCACTAACATAATATCCGAAACTACGGATATGAGTTACAAGACATGGACACTAACACAACGTAGCTGTTAGCATACGGTTTATCTATTTCGCTCATTTAGCACCAATTAAAAAGGAAAAAAACTAAAACGATAGAGAAGTTACAACGGCGGTATAATCTTTGCTTGTAAAGATAAAACGCTCTTTTGTAATAGAATCTTTTCCCCCTATATATATATTTGTGTGTGTGTATGTGTGTGTGTGTATAAAATTGAAGTATCGAATGAACTTAAAGACCACTTGATGGTAAGTGGTGCTGCAGTCTATGGAACCAACTATAAACCAACACCAAACGAAGAAGGCTCCAGATGCGTTCTCACCTCTGAAAAATGAAATTGAATAGCTGGCAGTCTATAAAACTGTCCATATATACCTTTCAGATTAGGCGAAAGAAATAGGTAAGAGTGTGATATCTACCCAGATGAATTCCTAGGCAGAAACGCCGTATCACCGATTAGTTATCTTTATGTTAATGGACGAATGGAAGAAAGTAGTAGAAAATGAAGATTAGTATTTAATAGACTAAATTATTGCTAAAAAATAAATTAAAATTGTTAAAAATTAACTGCCGAAATTAATAAAATAAAACATAAATGATTACTTTAAGAGCTAATCACGACACTTATTTAAAAAAATCCGTAGCCCCATATTACTTATGGAAAGCCAAGATTTCTGTTTCTTATATAAAATGAAAAACATACCAAATAATTAGGGTTAATTTAGTAAAAATAAACTATTATAAATTAACTTAAAACAATATCAGCAACTCTGCCGTAGCATCGTATGAGAAATATTGAAACCAAGTTCGAATTACATTTTCTGACAGTGTAACTGCCACGCTGCAGCTATGGTTGTAGTACGGGTAGGCTATTCAAGGGTGGGACTACGCTGTTACTGATTATCAGCGTAAAATGGCAGCTTAAAACTGCTGTTTCGTATTAGAGACTGAGATCTCAGTCTTCGGGAGTGACGACGCGTCGGACTGTGTGCTCGGTTTTCGCCCTTATTCTATAAAGGAATTATTATAAATATTCGACTAGGGTTATATCCATAATTTGTATTAAAAAAAGCTCCTAAAAGCTTCTCACGTAAACGATTTTCCAGGTCTGGCAGTTCCGTTCGTTGAGTTGACCGTCGCGCATGCCTCGGTCCTCACGATCCTAGCGATAAGCTTCGAGCGGTATTATGCAATATGCGAGCCTCTTCGGGCTGGCTACGTGTGTACCAAGACCAGAGCGACGCTAATCTGTGCCCTGGCTTGGTTCTTTGCCGCTCTTTTCACCAG